TCACTCACTCACTCACTCACACCCCCACAAAAATTTTAAAATACAGCAATATAATATAAAAGGGAATTACACAAGTTTAAAAAGTGGGATCATTCGCTTACAATCATACACATCCACACTACTTACAAAGAAAAATTGCACAGGTATAAAAAGGTGATAAAATAAGCGAACAATCCGTACATAAAGACATAAAGTCCATAGAGCAACAGCACAATAAACCGGTCAAGGCCGGCACGATATGAGGGAGCTAAAAAAGCCTCTTTCTCTAAAGGTCTAGTATAGAAAGAATAATAGTCGAGATGGCTAGGGTAAAGTTTCTGAGGTAATAGTGGACGATGATAGCCACGGTAATAGGCGCAGTCCGGGGTAATAGGCGCAGTCCATATCTATTGCCATGGCAAGAATGAAAGGGTACACTTACCTTCCTGTCGTATTTTCACAGTGCTGGTGACTTTGAGTCTCTCTCCATTATTATACCATTCACCTTTCACCTCCGCTAGGGACACCTCACATATGAAAACAGCATTCTCGTTCTCCTGCACACGGACATCCTCCAGCTCTCGCACAATCTGGACCTGACGTTCTATTGGGGGGGGGGGGGCGAGAAAGCCCAGGCAGTTAGAATTGAAAGGTATTTACAAAAGTGATATTTGGACTCATGTGGATTTCCTAAACCTCTACTCTTGATCATGGTACTCCCCCAGTTGTCACTAGAACAAACAGATGCCAATTATAAAAAATATATCACAAGTCATGATGAGAAACAAACATATTATCTAAGATTGTAAGAGCTACAGCTGTAATCTAATCACCAGAACATAGCAAGGACTCTGCTGGATCAAGGAGACAGTAATAGCAGAGCATTTTACCCTCTGAGGACACCAGAATGTAGAGTTCAAAATGGGTTTTTAATAATAAACTACATTGCCAGTATTATTGGGTGAGAGGCTGAAAAATCCACATTCATCAAAAGGTTATAGGCTATCTCGGAAGGACTTATGAAAGACAATGAATTTTTAACCCATCACAATTGCTAATTGATTTGGTACTTATAGTCCCTCTCATATAACCTGCATCTGCATACCCACACTTTCTTTCTTCACCCTTACTTCATCAAAATCCTACAAGAATGTTTAAATCCCCCATCAGTTTAACAATCAGCCCATGCATCTGATGAAGAAAGGAAGCTAAAAGTAAAGGTTCCCCTGTCAGCTGTATCCAATTCTAGGGCACTATGTTCATCTCCATTTCTTGGCCAAGGGAGCTGGCGTTGTCCAAAGACACTTATGTGACTATATACCAAAGATACATGAACGCTGCTACCTTCACACCAAAGTGATATCTATTAACTACTTGCATGTGCATGCTTTCACACTGCTAGGTACCCGGTTTCCCTGAAAATAAGACCTCCCTGGATAATAAGCCCAATCGGGCTTTTGAGTGCATGCACTAAAATAAGCCCTCCCCCCCAAAATAAGCCCTCCCCCAAAATATTGCAACACAGCAGCAACCATGAAGTGA